ATCTTATGATTTATAGAGCGATTTTATATTATGGTTCATGCAGTGGAGAACTTTAATGATATTATTTTATGGTGATTATGTTGAGAAAAGCAAAAATGTTGATTTTTATAACCCGTGCATGCTTGATTTAAGTTAAGGGACTAATTTTAAAACATTGGTTGCTAACGATAATCTTACTAGCCCTTGGCATGCCATGGTTAAATCCTAACTAGCTTAATATTCATGAGCATTACACCCACACTTGTTATTCGTGAGCTTATTACTCATGTTTGTTATTTGTGAGGTTTCATACTCGTACTTTTTTCGTGGCCTCCAGCCATATTTGTTGATTATTTATACTTGCGGACTATGTGTTCATGCTTATTAGTTATTTACTCATGTGAACTATGTGTCAACACTAGTTAGTTATCTACCATCATGAATTGTATGTCGAAGCTTTTTTCTTGGCTTTCAACGATGCTTGATTTATTATTTACCCTCGTGGACTGTGTGTCCACACTTATTATCCATTTTAATAAGTCATACTAAAGAATGATTTTTGAAATTTATTGTTTTTAAATTGATTCTATGGAACATGCAGTTCTTTTTCTTTCTATATGGATTTCATATAATGAGTTACATAACCCTTATTTGTTTAAAACATATGTTGTAGTTTAAAGGCGGAACTTGATTGCTTTGTCATTATTACTCGAAAATGTGTACATGGCTATATATTTATATGAAATTGTTTGACATATGAGATATGTGCTCCTGTCGAAGTGGCTATCTTTACCAAATTCATATATGTTTCCATGTTTTATGTCTATAAATCTAATCAATCTTCCAAAAGATAAGTTTTATGCAGCATCATTTACTTTACACTTGCGGTTCTTGAATTTGATGTTATATGATATATCACATTGAATTATTTTCTTTTAACTGTGCACATAATTATTTAAATATATTCACCTTTATTCTTTATAGTTTTATTATTAGGATGTTATTCATTAAAAATTATTCTTTTTGTCTCAAATGATATGTCCCTAACTCTACCTCTAGTTGAACATTGTGGGGTTTATTGCTAATTTGAAATTGGAACGTTATTTTGTTAATCTTCTTGTGTTATAAAATCTCATTTGTTACACATATAGAATTTTCATAAAAAATTAATAAAAAGTTAAACATTATATTAAATCAAATTTTATCTATTTTTGGCCAAAAATATTAAATCAATTTTTCTATAAATTTTAAAATGTAATAATTCATTAATAATTTTCATCTTCACATATTAACATATAAGTGTGGCTTAATTTTTCCTTTTTTTCCCCCCTTTGTTAGGCTCCCTTCTTGGGAGTAACACATACCATTTTATTTTATGCAAGTTGAAATAAAATTTTTCAATTTTTTTTTTTAGTCGTGAACTATGAGGTTTATGGTGTAAAATACTAATTTCCATTGTTGCTTCTTCTCTTCATGCTAACGTAAATCCAACAATAAAGTAAAACTAGTCCCGTGCTTTTTTTTAAAAAAAAAATTAAAGTCAAATTTATTAAAAGAAAAAAAGAAACAACCTACACCAGTGGCATAAGGAACACAAACATAAATAGACATAGCATCTTAGGCCCCTTCATAGATATCAAATTGTGGGTCCAAATAAATATTGAAAATGTTAGACACGTTAGTGAACTAAAATAGGCGAAAAACACATTTTAGTTGAAGCCCAAGCAAATTTTGCAAAAGCTTTATGAGGAGATCTATTTGTATATTTAAGGGCGTGCTTGGATTTCATGATATAATTGATTACAAAAAAATTAATTAATATGATTAATTTTAATTATGATTTGATTATGTTATAATGTGATTATAGGATGACTTTAGACAAAATTAATTTTAGATGTATAAAGTATAATAAAGAACATTATCTTTTTATAATGATATTAGATCTGTTAAATTATATTTACTAAATAAAATAAATATGTAATAGTTATTATTTTGACATGCAATGATTAATGATTAATAATAATAATAATAATAATAATAATCTACAAAATTTGAATTAAATGGATAGTTTTATTTATAAAACACACACACATAAATATCACCTGTTCCTCCCTCATGTTGACCATCTACTCCAAAAAGCCACTGCCATCTGACAATATTAGAAAGCATCAATATACAAAGCACCATTTTTAAGGGTTAAAATTGAAAAGTTAAAATTACTTTGGCAACATAATGACTCCAATGTGGTAATCAATTCTCATAACTTGTTGAGATTAGCTTCCTTCACAACTGAGTTTTTTTAGCCAAATGCAATATCACCTATTTGGTTTTTTTTTTTTTTGGGGTTAAAACCATAGTTTTGATAAGCATAATTGATTAATTGGGGGTATCCAAACAGGCACTAAAGCACTTACGGTTTGGGGTATCATGATGAGAAAATTCTAGACGTCAAGAAAATAAAAATCTCTATGATGGCTCTTACTATCATTCTCTATTAGGTTGTCCAAGTGTTAGTGAATTTATGATGATGTGAAAAGCACATACCGAATAAAGTTAGATTTAATAATTATATAAAAATAAAGAGGAAAGTCTCATAAACTTGAGCTTTAAAATTTTAAGTTAAGATGTGGTGTCCTTCTGCTATTCTTGCTTGTTTCTCATCTCCTCCTATTCTCGAGTAGTTGTTCCTCATCCCAATAAATGGTATCAGAACCTATTTTACCTATGTCTTGAAAGCTGGTTATTTTGTACAAATTTGAGTCCTAAAATGGGATTGGCCATAACTCAATACAGGCTGGCTCTAATTGGAAGAGCAAAGACTTTGTGTTTGGGGCATTTTTGATGTTGGGAGACTGTGGACTCATACTTGAGAGAAAAATTGTTAGATTATTCAAGTGTAAATAAACTTGGATAAACTTGAGTTTTGAAATTTTGAGTTAAGAAGCGACTTTTTTTTTTGGGTTAATCTTGCCTGTTTGTCTTCTCCTCACATTTCCAAGCAGTTGCTCCCCATTCCTACCATTCTCTAGCTATTCATCAAAAGCCTAGAAGAAAATCTGCTTCTCCTTTTCAACTTCTACTAATCATCCATAGGGTCCTCATCAAGTACATATAGTATATATATATTGTTTATGTTTGTGAGTCAATTCTAAAATCCTACAACTTGGATATGTTTACTTTAATATACTTGCAGAACCTTTTTCAATTCAATATCGTATGTTTACTAATTTAGTCAGTAGCTTGTGGGTACTTCTTTGAGGGCATTATCTCCCACCTCTTTTGAAAATATGCTTTTAAATATAGATGATTTTGTACTTTTAATTCAAATTTTCTATATATATATATATATATAAATTATAAATAACCAGCTAGTCAAAGCCCTTTTGATTAGTCCTTTTTGTATATATTTATCATGTTCTAACAAAAATCATATATATATATAATTTGAAATAAGAAGTTATTAATGAGATAGTAAACATATATTTTTAAACATGCAATTAAGCCAAATATATGTATATTTTGTATAACAGCTCAAATAACCAATGTTAAAATATATATTTTGTAGCAATGTCGACATCTCTAATATTTATTTCAAATCAAAATCTTTCAACTATTTAATTTGATAAATTTAAAATCATATAAAATGGAAAGGATGAAAAATGTAGTATCTTTTAAATTATTTTGGTCTCTTTTTCATTACTGTTAGTCTATTTTTTTTTTTTACAAATTAGTCTATATTTTTTAACTGAAAGAGCGAGGTAACGACAACCTTAAAGCAATGATGAGGGCATAAATAAAAACAAAAATGTATTTTTATTGTGTTTAATTTTTTTATATTTTTATTTTATTTTTAATCAAAAAGGTAGATATAATACAATGCTGATAATAATCTCCACACAAGTTTCATCACATGCTAAGCTCATGTGTTTAAGATTGAGCAGCCCTAGTCCTCCCAAATGAGGGCAAATTGAGCTATTTCCACTTTACTTGTAATAAGCTTTGAGAGCTTAGTATGTAATTATCATAGGGTTTAGTCATAATTTTCAATTTTGATTCATTCACTAATTTGTTTGATTTGATTTAACTTATTTCACTTTGACCCCATATAACCAAGTATGAAACCAACACGTTAAACCAAAATATTAAGTAAACTTGCAATTTAAACTAACCATACACCCGTGTCATGCATGAGATGTTCTTGATTTTTATACAAATTAAAACTAAATGAATATTAATATATTGTACAGTAAAATTTAAATACTATATATATATATAAGGGTATTCTTCTACTTTGTTTTTTAAGAAAAAAATAGAACCTAAAATCTAGCTACAGGGCGCAAAACTTGAGGGCTTATTTATGTGGCTCGGCCGTTGGCCTTATGTCAACTAGGGTAATATATTTAATTATTTTTAAATTATAAATATTGAATCATATAAATTATAATAATTTAATATAATAACCCAAATGAAAATTATTATCTATTTCATATTATCTTTCAAAAATCTTTTTCTATTTTTATTTTTCATTTCTCACTGCTATTTTTTTTTCTCATGGTTTACATTGCTATGTTTGTAATATTCCTTTTCTCTCATAGATCTTTTCTCTGATCACACACTTTGTTTCTTCACTTTTTCCCCTTCAATTAAGGGAATAAAAGCAGTGTAAATAGTTTTTGATGATATTTCAAGTCCGATTCCTTCACATTTCCACGAAAAATCCTTTTTTTTTTTCATTACGGCAGCGAGGTTTACGATTTCATGTCCAATTCCTTCATATTTCCACAACCAATGTTCTAAAATTTATGGATGAATTTAAAACGCAAACAGTATTTTACAGAACTTTTTTATCATCTTTTATCTATGATTTTATTTAATCACTATGATTTAGATAAATTTATCATTTATAATACAATCATATGAAAAAACAAAGGAAAAAAAAATGCTAGAATACTCATCTTGGCTTCAAATTAACTACTCTCAAATTCACAACGGAAGTTATCTATTATTCATAATTCCATACACCAACTACATGAAACAAGAGATAACCATGAACAACAACATAGATCATCCTTGGCAAGACAATCAATAACATTGGACCATCAAGAATAAAAGGCTTGTGGGAACACATAACGTGGACCTTACACGTAACTGATAATAGAAGTTGTCAATGAGCAACCAGGTTCATGCACTTGTTCTTGAATCTTGCTTTCCTGACATGAATTTCCACATACATGAAGTCAACAAAGTTATCCACATGTCTGAAGCAAGCATGTCTCCAGTTTTTGTTGAGCAACAAAAATCCAATAACTATCCAGAATCCTGTGATGAATCCCAATGCTATCACAAAGTAAAATAACACCTTTTCTTTTCCTTGATCATCATCCTCTTCATGAAAGCTAAGGTTGGAAGGAGGGTGGGTCATCCCAATCCCAGGACATGCTTTTTCAAGAAGATCTCCACAAAGATATGGATTGCCAATATAAGAAGATGAACCAAAGGTAGAGAATTGAGCCCCTTTAGGAATAGGTCCTGAAAAATTATTATTTGATAAATTTAAAAAACTCAATGAAGTCATGGTGGACATGTTGCTGGGAATAGGACCAAAAAGTTGGTTGCTTGATAGATCAACGGATTCCAATGACTTCATGTTTGCTATCTTGCTTGGAATCTTTCCTGAAAATTTATTGTGTGACAAGTTCAAGCCAATCAAATCCGAGAGACAAGTTAAACCTTTTGAAATTGAACCCTTCATATTGTTATTCAACAAGTCAATGTTTGTCAAATACCTCAAATTTGAAGTGTATTCTAGTTGCAATCCTTTCAAAGCTTGATCAACACCCTCTACAAACGTTATATCTTCATTTTCATAAGAAGATCCAAAAATAGAATCATCTGAGTGGAATTGATTTGTTCCATTAAGATTGCAAAAGCAATAAGGGGTTAAACTTGACAAATTAGAGCCAGAAAGATCCAAGATTCCCAATCCTTAGAGCTTGCAAAGGGAAGGTGGAATATCACCACATAACAAATTCTGTGACATCCTTAGAATGTGAAGTTGCGGCAATCCCCCATCACCTATCCAAGAAGGTATCATTCCAGTAAATTGGTTCTCACCAAGGTCCAAAACTTGTAATGTTGAATGTCGTTGTAAGACTTGTTGAAGGTCTCCATATAAATTGTTGTTGCTCAAAATTAACCACATCATTTGAGATACATTCCAAAATGTGCTTGGAATTGATAACTTATTAGATGAAAGATTTATTACATAAAGTTGACTAGCGTTGCTCCAACAATTGGAAATTTCACCAGATAGTCTATTATATGATAGCCTTAGAGTGATCAAATTCTCCAAATTACACAAAGAGTTTGGTATTGAACCTTCTATAAGATTGTGCCTGAGATCTAACAGTCTTAACTTTATATTTTGATCCCTACTGTATTTTGGAATTAGTCTCCTAATGCTGTTATTGGATAAATCCAAGTGCATTAGTTGCTCTTGTTTCTGAAGCCACTGTGGAAACTTTGTGCGTATATTGCAAGATGCCATTCCTAAATATGCTAAGGATTGAAATGGAGGTGTCCAATTTGAATCAAGCTTTACAAAAAGTTTGTTAAATCCTACTTGTAAATATTGTATATTTAGGAGCTTTTCAAGGTGATTCTCGAAAAAGGTACCTTCTAAAAGGTTATGTGAAAGATCTAATTTAACTAAATTAGACAATTTTCCAAGATTAACTGGAATAGGCCCACAGAGAAAATTATTTGAAAGATCAAGAGTTTCGAAGTTCTCTAACTCTCTAAACCAACTTTGCATTGGCCCATAAAGGAGATTATTTGAAAGATAAAGTCTTTTCAAGTTCTTTAGCTTGCCAAACCAGCTTGGCAAACTCTCATTAATACCATTGGAAGATAAGAATAAATCTTTAAAATTGTCAATTGAGCGTTGAGATAAATTTCCACCACCAAAACTTAGTAAAGACACTATTGATTCATATTTGTGACCGGACAAGTCTAAGGATTGGAGGGAACATATGTTGTTCAAGATAGAGGAGATGGAGATTTTACTCTCATTGAAAGAATTCGAAGAAAGATCAAGATGGATCAGAGAGTGAAGATTACCCAACCAGTGTGGAATTGAAGAAATTGAGTTCCATGAAAGGTCCAACTCCCTTAAGGAGGTCATATTTTGAAGAGCATCATGAATTGAACCATGAAGATAATTGTTTGAAAGATCCAAGAGCTCAATATTAAGAAGAAATGTAGAATTCATAGAGGCATGTGTGACATGGACATTGGCAATACCACAAAGACTAAACCCTGCCTGTAACAGAGAAGAAAGCATGGAAAGTACCTGAAACAAATTGTGTGCCTTCTCAAGGGACACTCCAGTCATTGTTATGCGTCTCAATGATGAGAGTTTTAAAACCCAACCCATGTCATCAGCATAGAAATCTTCCCCATAATCTGAAAGATCAAGAACTTGAAGGTTTGAAAGATTACCAAGATGATGGGGAATCATGCCACTAAAGTCAGAATAAGAGAGGTTGAGTTATCTTAGCTGCTTCATGGAACCAAGGAACTTTGGTAGAAAACTTGAATTAAATGAGTTTACACTCTAGTCCAAGTAATTCAAATGTTCCAACTCCAACAGTGAAGGGTCTACAGCTTCCACTTCTGATGTATAGCTAAGATCAAGCTTGATAACATGTCTTGAAATAAAATCACAACGAACACCTTTCCAGTGACAGCAATTAAATCCCTCCCAAGAACCAAGTGGTCCAGCAGATGTGTTTTTGAAACTTGATCTAAATTTCAAAAGAGCTTGCCGCTCTCGTTCATGGCAAGTAGAGGTAGAGTTTGTGGAGAAGCAGAGTCGTGAGGAATGAAAGAACAGGAAAAGAAAGAGAAAACAACATTTGAGTTAGGACTCATGATTGCAATAATGAAGAATGATCAAACTGTATTTGAAAACAAGGTATCATGACTGAAAGAATGCTGTTGGTCGGATATATATAGAGGAAAAGAAGTTAATTACTCAGGGGCAGAAAAATAGTTAAGGTAAAGGGGAAAGAAACAAAATCGTTATATGTATGCTTTTCAAAAATATTTTTATGAAAGTAATTTATTGTTTTAAAAGTCGCCTAAGCTTTAAAGAAATACAAATGAGAGCTATTAGAGACCAGAGAGAGAAACTAGAGAAGAATTAGAAAATGTTGTATCTATTATTGAGATGAAGGTTACATTATATACACAAAGAAAATAGAAAATACAATAACGACTAATAACTATATAATAATATCAAATAATATCTTCTAATAATAATTGAGATATATACACAATAATAATAAAAGATATCTGGAGAATATTTTAGATAACATCCCCCCTCAAACTTAAGATGGCTTGACAGAAAGCAACTTGAGTTTGTTTACTAGAAACTGAAAGTGGCCTGGATGAAAAGACTTTGTAAACAAGTCCGCTGGTTGATACTTGGTTCGAATTGGAATAAGTTGGATGGTGCCCCGAACAACATATTGTCGAGTAAAGTGACAATCAATCTCAATGTGTTTGGTCCGCTCATGAAACACATCATTGTGAGCAATCTTAATTGTAGCTTGACTATCACAATAAATGTCTGTGGAGGAGCTCTGAGATACTCCCAACTCATCAAGTAACCAATGAAGCCAAAGTACCTTAGCAGTAGTGTCTGCTAGTGCACGATATTCTGATTCAGCACTAGAGCGAGAGGCTAATGTCTGCTTCTTACTTCTCCAAGAGATAAGGGAATGACCGAGGAAGATACAGAAACCTGTCGTAGACCGTCGATCATCATGATCACCACCCCAATCCGCATCAAAGTAAGCTTGCAGTGTAAAAGAGGAGCTAGTAGAGAAGTGAAGCCCATGATACAGAGTGCCTCTAATTTATCGAATGATCCGAAGAACTACTGCATAATGAGTTGTGCGAGGCTCAGACATAAACTAGCTAACAACATGAACTGCATAAGCAATATCAGGTCGCATGACGGCAAGATAGATGAGACCCCCAACCAGTTGTCGGTAATGGGTGGGATTATCTAATAAGGTGCTATCAGTAGAAGTATAGTAAACATTTGGTTCAATAGGAGTAGTTTCAACCTCCTCATTAGAAAGATGAGCTCGGAATATTAAATTGGTAGCATACTTAACTTAAAAGAGAGATATACCATAACTCCCATGGTGGACCTCGATCCCAAGAAAATATTTCAATCTGCCAAGATCTTTCATTTCAAATTGTTGGCCCAAGTACGTCTTGAGCTCATGAACTCCTGTATTATCACTGCCTGTGATAATCATGTCATCAACATATAGTAGTAACACAACAATACCATGAGTAGTAGAGCGAACAAAAAGAGCCGAGTCGTGAGAACTACAAGAAAAATTCAATTGATTCATAGTGTTACTAAACTTAGCAAACCATGCACGTGGAGCCTGCTTGAGCCCATATAGAGCTTGACGAAGACGACAGACCTTGTCTTTTGGATGTTGATACCCAGGTGGAGGCTTCATATACACTTCTTCTTCTAAATCTCCATTTAGAAAGGCATTTTTAATATCCATCTAGTGAAGAGGCTAGTGCTTAATAGTAGCAATGGCTAGAAGGCTACGAACAGAAGTCATACAGGCTACAGGTGTAAAAGTTTCCTAATAGTCAATACCATATTCCTGAGTGAATCCTTGGGCTACCAAGTGGGCCTTACGTTGTTTCAAAGAGCCATCAAAATGAGTCTTGTTCTTGTAGACCCATCGACACCCAACCAAAGTTTTACTAGGAGGACGATTAACAAGATCCCAAGTATGCATTTTCTCTAGGGCCTGCAATTCATCATCCATAGCTTGCTGCCAAAGGGGATCACGAGAGGCTTCCTTAAAGGATTTGGGTTCTTGAAATTGGAGAATGGTGGAAAAACAATGGTAATCATTAAGGTAAGAGGGAGGATTTCTTACACGATTAGGTCGAGAGTTTGTGGACGATATGGGCTCAGTAGGCGTGACTTGTGCTGGAGGAGTAATAGGTATGATAGTAGGCATATCTGGAGCGGGCGCAGCGTCGGTCGTGGAAACAAGCTCAATAGAAGAATCTATACTTAAGTCACTGAGAAAGAGATCAGTAGAAATATCTGTAAAAATAGGAGGTGAAGAAGATGAGAACGACGAGAGATCAGTTAGAGATGAAAACTTGATATTTTCCCAAAAGACGACATGCCGAGAAATACGAATGCGATGAGAGAGAGGATCCCAACAACAATAACCCTTATGCTCAGAATCATAACTAAGAAAGAACAAACACGAGAACGAGCTTGAAGTTTGTTTGTCTCATGAGACGGAAGAAGAACAAAACAAGCACAAGCAAAGACTTTCAAAAGACTATAATCGGGAGGATAACCATGGAGACGCTTAAAAGGAGAAATGTTATCAATAACAGGAGATAGGAGTCGATTGATGCAAAAGACAGAGGTTAAGGCTGCTTCACCCCAAAACCGTTCAGGACAAGAAGAGGAAATGAGCAATGCTCTAATAGAATCAAGAATATGACGATGTTTATGCTCAGCATGACCATTTTATTGAGAAGTATAAGGACAAGAATATTGAGAAATAGTATCTTGAGAATCAAGAAAGGTGAGTAATTTAGAGTCATAATATTCCAAAGCATTATCACGACAAAAATTTTTGATAACTTTAGAATACAGAGTGTGAACTATAGTAGCAAATTTGATATAAAGTTCAGGTAACTTAGATCAATGTTTCATCATATAAATCCATGTAAAAACGAGAAAAATCATCAATAAAAATCACAAAATATCAGGATCCTCCCATAGAGGGAGTAGATGCAGGGCCCCAAACATCAGAATGAATCAAATCAAATGGAGAAGCAGCAATAGAATCATTTTTATGAAAAGACAAAGCAGGTTGTTTGGCAGTCTGACAAGAAACGCATTGCAAAGAATGACTATGAACATGACCTAAAAGACCACTAGAAATTAAAGGACACAATTTACTTAAAGAAGGGTGAGCAAGACGACGATGCCATAGGTCGAGAGAAGAATCAGGAGAAGAGGATGTGGAGGCAGCACACAATGTGGGAACAGTGATCTCAGGTAGGTGCATTGAAGTGAGCTCGAACATGCAACCAACTTTGCACCCGATTCCAACAACCTGTCCTGTTTGAGAATCCATCACAACACAACCACGTTTATTAAATAACACATCATAACCCATATCAACAAGTTGTCCAACAGAAAGAAGGTTAAAGTTAATGGTAGGAACAAAATATGTATAATGAATGGATAGGGAAGGCAAGGAGAAAATACCAATATGACTAACAGGCATTTGAGAATTATTAGCAGTATGTATAGGATAGGCAATAGAGTTAGGTGTCATAGAAGAGAAGAAATTTTTGTGACCTGTCATATGATTGCAGCAAGTAGAGTCAAAATACCAAGTGGATTTATCAGTGAGACTAGATAAGGCAGCGGATGGGCTAGAGGAATCGAAGATAAATGTGCGCAACAAAGTTTCAAGTTCAATCGGAGAGGATCCTAAAGTAGGCTGAGCAAGATCACATTTTTTCAACCAAAGACAGTAATTGCAACCATTCAAAGTAACTAATATAGATTGAGCCACATCTGAATTTTCCATTTTTTTAAGGAAAAAAAGGCTTATAAAAGAGAATGAAGGATTAAAAACATCTAAACCAAAGACTGTAATGCGAATGGCATAGCGCTCACACCAGGAAACTAGTCAACGACCTGACCGTTCATAATGACGTGTTGGATGTTCTTTACTTGCTGACCAAATTTCAGCACGATCCAACAGTTAACGCATCTGAAAATGTTGATTTACCGAAGCTGCCTATGGATATGCGAAAATAAATTTAAGGTAGATCTGAACTCGTGACAAAAGATGGCAACACTGCTGCGAAGGAAAGCTAACGCTCTTCAAAACCTGACTTATCGTGGGAAAAGTATTATATGGCTCTGATACCATGAGAGCTATTAGAGACCAGAGAGAGAAACTAGAAAAGGATTGGAAAATGTCGTATCTATTATTGAGATGAAGGTTAAATTATATACACAAAGAAAATAAAAAATACAATAATGACTAATAACTATATAATAATATCAAATAATATCTCCTAATAATAATTGAGATATATACACAATAATAATAAAAGATATCTGGAGAATATTTTAGATAACAGAAATTAGAAGTTCCATCTCAAAAATTCAACTTTAAAAGTAACCTTGACTTTATAAGCGCTTTCATACTTGTAAGAGAGTTGTACTATATGGTTTTTTTTTTCATATTACACCCCCTACTGTAAATTTGAACTGCTCAGATCAAATTTTAACAATACAAATGAATTTGTATCTTTAAAAACTATTAAATCTAAATTATTAAGTTCCGATTTGCAATGTTCTTTCTGCTCTGCTATAGTGGAAAGAAACCATCTCCTGGATCTACATACAATGTTCGATCGAAA